GCCCCGCCCCGCAGGCGCGCACATCGAGCGCCCGGAGGATCGCGCAGCGTGGGCACCCCTTATTGTGGGCGCGCCTGTCGTCCGGAAGGGGAGTTGCCGTGACCTGCAGGCGGTCCTGCGCCTTAGGCCAGCAGCGACCACCAGCCGTGAGGGCGGCAGGCACGGCCGTGCGAGGCGCGCTCGCGTGCTCCCGCGTCGCGGCGCGGCGCGTCACTCTCGCAGGGGTCCTCACCGATGTCTCCGCACGCACGCAGGGGCCGCGGGAGCCCAGACGTTGACTCGACGGTGTAGCCGCTGAGCCCTCTCGACCTGTCGACTTTTTGATTGCATGAATGTGGGCGGTGTACTCTTGTGGGGAGGTCGTACTTTGCCCAGGACGGGCGCGCAGCGGAGGCGGCAGGAGCAGCCGGGGGTCGGGAGAGATCACGCATGTGAGAGGAGCGACGCGGTGTGGCTTTGCGTCGGCCGGCGCACAACCGTACGGTCGTGAGGTCAGTGCGGGAGCCGCAGCGGAAAGGAGGTCTGTCACGGGGGGGGCGTGGCGTGTAGAGTGGGGCACTTTCCATGGACTAACCTATCTTACTCAGAAATTTGGGCTTGGGAGTGCACTATCTCGGTTTCATGGCTTTGTTTCGCGAGCTCGTCCTCTCCGCCTCCGCTCCCCCCGCACGGCCCGAACAAGAGGGAGACCGGCCCGTCTCCGACCCCAACCGCGACACGTGTGTCGCAGGCGTAGGCAGCGCTGGCGAAGCGAGGCGGTCGGCGCCGGCCCCCGGAGGCGGTTGCAGCGAGAGAAGCGAGGCAGAAGACACTGTTGGAAGGGTGAGGAGCAGCCTGCCGTCGAGCGGCACGCCGCGCAAGCCCGCTGCCGGCGACCCGATCGGAGAGCTCGTAGTCATGGTACTATTCAGCGCGCCATCGCGCCCGAGGCGGCCCGCCCTGGCCCTGTAGACCTTCCCAGAGAGCTTGGCGAGGCTGTACAGCATCCCAAGAGCATACTGGGCAGGCTCCCGTCGAGCGACGAGCCATGCTGGCTCGTCGCGGGCCGCGAGCTCGAAGACCCGCTCGGAGCTTCGCCGAGCCTCGCGGGCCGCCCGCACGCCCGCGGCCGCAGGCATGGAAGCGAGCTTCCTGGCGTCTCTAGCCAGCGCTCACATGCCAAAAGGCACCTCGCAGCGCGCGAGACGTGACCGGAGCGGTACGCCTCGGCGCCGCGAGAGCAGCCGGTCGGCGTGGGCACCAAGCGCGCGGCCGCCGGGCGCCTTCGCACCGACAGGGGCGCCGCGGCAGCAGAGAGCACTCCAACACATACCGTTTTTATGGCGGGTGATTCATCAGCTACGACCTCGGGCGAATTCTTTTGGGCGGAGGAAAGGCTATAGAGGCGTGTGTCGCCACGGGCGGGCGCCGCGGCCTGCCGAGAAATGACGACAGCCGCCGGCATGCTGCCGCCGATGATTCTGCCGCGCGCGACGCAGCCAGCGGAGCCCGAGGATGAGCCGGCGGGCCCTTCGGCGCCGCAGCGCGCTGCACGTGCTCCCGCGCAGGGCAAGCGCAAGGGGTGGGTGCCGAGGTCGCAGGCTGACTTTTGCGACGGCGGCGCGTACCCGGAGATCCACGTCGCTCAATTCCCGCTGGAAAATGGGGCCCAAGGGCAAGGCCGCAATCCCCAGGTGCTCGCTCTCACGACCGACGCGTCGGGCCCCCGTTGGCCACCCCCCCTGGCATCGCGTCCGGTGGGGCAGCCCCAACGGTAAGGGTCGTCCACCCCGAACCCGAGACTCCGCTCGCCGCCCAAAAAATCCTGGCCCAAGAAGGAACCTGGCCCCGCCCAA